CTACTACTACTCTCTCTCTCTCTCTCTCTCTCTCTCTCTCTCTCTCTCTCTCTCTCTCTCTCTCTCTCTCTCTCTCTCTCTCTCTCTCTCTCTCTCTCTTTCAACATTCTCTCGCTTATTCTCCTCACAGTTCTCTTTTCCTCACAGTTCCTCCACATGCTCTTTGCACGCGATTTTTCAGACCGCGGGTAACAAACGTGTACGCGCGAGTGAAATGCGGTAGGTTACACCGACGAATACATCACACGCGCAAAATAAAAGGTGCGTGCTAGGCGCCATTTTAAAGATTGCCGAGCTGGTTAGATTGCTTCTGTCGTGCGTATTCTTTCCTTTCTCTTCTCGCAGATCCATGCAAATCTGGTCTCCCCTCCCCCTCTCTTGGTTTTCATTCTGTTCGCCGCATCCCCTCACTATTCTAACCGCGGACGATCTCCCTTTCTTGTCTTCCTTTTTTTTTCCCTCTCTTTTTTTTACGTCAGAGGACGATGGCGTAAGGAGGTAAAGAGTTAGGGGAGAGTCGGGGCACAAAGAGAAGAATAAAGGAGTGCGAGAAGGAGTTGGAGCGGTGAGGAAGGAAAATGAGGGAAAGTGTGAGAAGGAAAGAAACGCTCGCGTAGCGATGATCAAAAGCAGTTTGCTCGCGGACTTGCCTGAAGTACTTTCGGAAAAGAGAGGGAAGACCGCGCGAGTTCGTTTGGCTTCCTTTTACGCGGCTCTTTGTCTACGACCGTTAGACTCTTATCTCTCCGACGCGCCTCCTTTTATTTTCGAGTTATCGATTCCCCTTTCTCCCCGCGTCGCGCGAAATCCCACTCCATTGCACAAAGTTCGGCATTGAGGGTCGACGATTTCTCAACGCGCGCCACGAAATTATGAAACCGTATCAGTCTAAGAACCCACGGAAGCTGACGAAAGGCCGGCGCTTTGAGAAACTGCAAGCTTGTTCGACGATAAAGTCAATTTTAGAAATAAAGTTTTCTCCACAGTAATTGCATTTCACTCGCGTGACTTTAGAGATAATTATCTCGAGAACAATTATTTTTACAGCCGTATAACAACTTACGTACGAGTACGTAACTTACAACATAGCTTTCGTAATAATGCGACCGTTCAATTAATGTTACCCTATTTACATACACCTAATTAAATTTCCATACACATAGCTGTTCCTAACGTAAAAAAATCCTCGAGCGAAATATATGTTCACTAAGAAAGTCAGCAAGAGATATCATTTTGCAAAGTTTAATTAGTTCTGATGCCGACTGCGAAAACAAGGCGTCTATTGCGTTATCAGAACTTTATTCCAACTAATCGATGTCAAAAATATTTTATCGAGGATTGCGATTGTAAAAAGAACTCATTGTCATCGATGAATTTATCTCATTTTCTTAGATTGATGTAAATATTGAAGCAAAAAGTATAAGAATAATATAAGAAATCAAATTTATTTCCACTGTAGATGTACGATTCTGGAATACTTATATTCAAGGCGTACTTTTCCGCGCACAAGCTTTACGTGTAAAATACGTATTCAAATATTATTTTATCGGAAAATATGGAAATATTTGAATAAATAATCTTTCTCTTCAAATTTATATTTTATGCAAGACGCTTTCCATAAATCCGTTGGTCTAAGAATCGCCGTCGCATAGAAAGCGCCCGATGACGCGATATAGACGATCTTTCAGATTATGTTGTGCTAAGATTTGTAAGGTAACGAGAGAAAGAGAGAGAAAATGTGTCCCAGTGGCATACATTATCGCCATTCCTTCCGGCCTCGCCTCTTCGTTCCTCATTCTTCTTCTTCTTTGTCTCCGGTTTCGTCCCTTTTCTCACTTTCTTTCCGCGCCGACATTACCACTCGAGTATCCCTCCCTTCCGTGCACTTTCCACGCATAATCGTGCATTTGCATGCAAACTCGATATTACTACTTAAAATGTAAAACAACTCCGCGCTTCTGCTGGCGCGTTCCTCGCGGCAGTAGGATGAAAAGAAGTTGAATGAACGAAAGGACCGTCTAAATAAAGAATCCTTGCGGCATTTCTCTTGAGAAAGGACATCGTCGATATGTCCGAATAATTTATTTTTCGGGTCAACACACACACACACAAGGAGACTGTGCGAAGCAGCTCTGGACATTCACGTAAAAATCACAAAAATCTGTTACTTGTAAGTCAATAATCTTGGTTTAATGATTGTACAATTAATTCAATCATTAATTTAATCAACGCTAAGCAATATAGAAGATAAATACAATTATTTTGTAATAAAATTTATTAAAAAATGTGTATTTGATTCAATTTTTATGTGAAATAATAATTATTATATGTAGACATAATTCTGCATCGAGAGATTGCTTTATTATTTCACTGACTATTAAAATTTTTTGTTTCAGATGAAATCAGAGTGTCGTCTAATTGCGACGTTGTGCGTTTCAAAGAACATTATGGCAGATAAGTGGAATAATAATAGGAATAATAATAATGATGACGAGTTATATTAAACTTGCGAAAATAAGGGATAAAAATTCCGCGGAACATGTCACATAATTATTTTCACGGTTTGCCGCGACGGGTGTCGCGCAGTCGAGTGCTAATGTCAGTGGAGTTTCGCCTACGCGAAACGCGGGAGGTCGCTGAATAGAATACCGGAATACTCGCAGGATATTGTCTCGTCTCACGCAGCGCTGAATATAGGCATTATTTCTTGCAGAACGGGATTATATGTATTAAATTCTGAGGGAATTCCGCAACATCTTTATACACGTTTTCTCGGGAAGTATATTGCTAGTGCAATATATTATCGTGCGCTATCCGCGACAGACAGGGGAAAAAATAAAACAAATCAGTTGTTAGATACAAAATAAAAATTAATTTTATTAATTAGATACATAAATGTGAGGAAAACCCATTACAATATTGCGAAAAGTTTCTGAACTTACCTAAACCAGCATGTCCGAAACAAAACAGGCAACCGTCCGTTCCATTGATGACTGCATGAATTACATCTGTAAGAGCGCTCGAACAGATTTCAGTCTGGAAAAAAACAAAGAGCGAACGATATACATTTTGTTGATTGTTATTACCGTTTAAATACTATTTTAGTGTTTAAAACATTGTTATAAGCTTTGATCTATTTTGCAATAGACATCTCAGGTTTATTCCGATAATTGTTATTCTCGTCGTTTTTGAACGTCAGTGCAGCTTTAGGAAAGCTGAATGGACGCGATTTTAATTGCGTCTGCCTTGCAATAATACCGCGACAAGAGAATGGAAAGAGGCGGAACATCAAGCCTCTCGCAGGACAGCGAAGAAGAGCTCGCCCAGGCTCTCGTAAAGTGCTTAAGAAAGCGCGCTGGCGCGGGCCGGGTTTAATAAACGCGTGTAACGTCTCTCGAGTGAAAAGTGAGGGGAAAGACGCGGATGAAGAGGAGGGGGTCGTGAGATTATAAGAGACGGCCCTTTGTTTGCTCCTAATGTATTCATAGACTGGAAAAGACTTTTCCCAGGCCTGGAAAACAACGCTCGAGCCCATTCCAAGTGGGACTCTCCTTTGAAGACGACTTGGCCTCTCGGTTAAAGAGCCACGACGGCCGGCCGTCCATCCGACATCGAGATTCCGAATTTTCGACGCGATTCGAGGAAAAAAATAGACGGCGATGCGAAAATCGAAGGGTCGTTCATTCGTGGGACGGGTTTCGCGAATTTCCTGCGGAAGTTGCAGAGGATCCCCAATCGAGCCTGCGGCTGATGTGTTTGTGAGCGATCGATATAAGCGCCGCTCGCTCGACTGTCTTTCCTCGCTCCGACGCCGCTTAACAAACGGCGACTCGGACGACGAGAGAGATGGAAAGGCGTCATGTGTTGTGAGAGGGAGCTCGCAAGTTGGGGGGGGGGGGGGGAGAAATCGGAAGAAAGATGAGGACGTGTCGATGCCTCGGCCAAACAAGATTGAAATCTTCGTGGACGAGAATCGGATGAGCCCGAGATGGAAAAAGGGTCGCGCGAAAAGTTCGTGGTAAGAGAAAGCATAAGGGGGGGTGGAAGTGTATAGGGGAGGAAACGGAATCGTTCCGGAAAGGAAAGTCGAAGTGGAGAATCGAAGTAAGAAGCGAGACATGGCAAAAGGAGGAAGAAAGAGAGCGATCGTTCTCTTCCGCCTCTCTTTTTTCCTTTCCCGCGGCGGCGAGAGGATAGGGAAATAAGGAGTCTAGTCCCTTTCCCAATATGGTAATACCAATCTGTCGCTGCTCGTTTCAAAGGGGCGGTACAGCGTGTAGCCGCAAACGATTCTGCCGATACCGCCGCAGATTTACACTGACTCTTCGATCGACGGACGAAGAAACGTTTCCGCGCCTCGATAAAGGAATTTGTTATCCGAGAGGAAGCCGCTCGTTAATTCACGGTTGATCGCACGCCAATTAAATTGGACTCCGCCGATCTTATTTCATTATCAGATAAGACTGTCATATTTACCTCGACTTCTAAGACACGTTGATATGATAATAACGGAATTGTTATCTCTATATATAAAAAATCTATTATTTTACAACCGCAATATTTGATTCACTGTTTTTCTATTTTATCGAATTTTTCCTCGTTCTATCGTATTGATTTAATATCGAAAGTATTCGATCGATAAATGTCTAAACGCGGACGCCTTAGTCCGACGGACGAGCTCGTGCGAAACCAATATTGGAACCGACGACGGGGGTTATCCGACCGGATATATCCGACACTTACCACGGTAACAACAACGACATTCATAATTATAACGGGATCATCCCAAGGGATGTAACGCAAAGCAAACACATTTCGCAAGTACCTGCACCCTCCGTCGCCGTAGATCTCGCCCTTGAACTCCCCGAGCCGAACCGTCGGCATGACAGTTAATGAAATACGTGACCGGAGCTACCGTCATAATCTCAAACACTTGATTCCGCGCCCGTGCGGCGGGAGAAATTGCGGAAAGGGTCCTGCCGCGATCCAGACGCGCGCGAGCGAACGCCCATCGATGCTGAGCCTTTGAAAATTTTCACCGGCGAGAGACGACCCTCTGTGATGTCCGCCCTCGGGCCAGACGCCCGCGCGTAATGCTGTTTAACTCTCTCGCTCGGATTTCCACCGGTTAAAAATGAGTAACAATAGCAATTTACTTCCGCTTTGATGTCCTTTTGATAATCGAAATTCTCCGAATTGATAGGCGGAGAGTAACCGGAAATAGAGCCGGATGGAAATTAGTTAATTATTTTTTTTCCAAATGAAATTTCTGCGCGGTTCTCGGAGTTTATGATAGAATCTCGTGAATAATGTTCACAGCTAGAGTTAACAGTTGTCAAGGAATAAATTTTCTGCTGTTCGTCGAGTCGTCTGCAATTTCGGCAGCCGAGACAAATCGGCACGAACGTGACGTCTCACTCGCGCTCATCTCGTGGTGTTTATTTCGAGTGGGGTGGCGCGAATTAAAAGACACACGCTGCGGTGTGACTTACAAGCAGCGTCGTGTCATCACGCTCGTAGTCGTTTGAATTTGCACGACGCGTTTCGGTAACGCAATATTGGCGCGCCGGACCGGAATACCAATTGCGCGGAGGGTCGAATGTGCCCACCTTTTCGGCTTGCGAGGAAGAATCCACGACGAAGGTCGCTCTCTCGCTTTCCCCGCTTTCGATTTCGCCCACCTACGCTCTCTCTCTCTCTTCCTCCCCCACCGTCATCCCCTCTTCCGACGTCTGTTCACCCTTCTCCAAACGCGAAATGTAAAACTCGTGTCGAAAGTTCGAAAAGAAGCAGCGAGAAACGTTCCACCCTCGCGACACTGAAGTGAGACGAACGAGGTGGGGTTCTCTTAATGGCTGGAAATAATCGAATGATCTTCCCTCCCGTCCGCGCGTCGCCGGCGAATCTCTTAATTCGCAAGTTTTCCAGATGCCTCGACGGCAATGTCTCGGGGCGAATCGAGGTGACGTCGTGGACATTCCTCGACTTACAAGCGGTGGCACTTTCACGGCTCGTGAAGTTCGTGTTCCTTTTCCCGATATTCTTGCGAAACTTTTATTGACGATAAGGGAATGTAGTCTTTCTAGGGAATGAAAGTCTTTCTTTCTAAATTATTTCCCAGCATTTATATAGTGCAGTTAACGCGTAGAAATAAATTTTTAGCAAAGTGCGAATTCACATTTTTCTTTAATAAAAATTAATGATTTGTGCAATTTTAATAAATATCTAGATAATCTTGATCTTCAGTGAAATCTTAATTTAAGAAATTCAATTTCTAGAGAACTTAAAAATTTATTACAAGAAATACTAAACAATTAAATTTGAATAGAGAAAAAATAATTTCGCCTCTTTGAGAGGAATTTTGTCCCAGTCATCTTAAATATTACTAGGAGGATTGTTATTGAGCGTTGTGCTTTTGTAAAAGCATAAACCATCGCAGGCAAATTTACATAAGAGCATAGCGTGTAAGCGTCGCGACCAATGAGGCTCCTGGTATAAGCTTTGCAGTACAATACAGCGGCTTATGTCGGGCGTTTCATTGGTCGACGCGTTTATGCGCTATGACGATGTTCTTATGCAAATTTCGGTGCAATGTTGCTCATGTATCAATATTAATATAACTATAGAAACGGCAGAGAAAGGCGACAAAATCTCATTAAGACGCGCAGTGTCGAGGAAGTACAATACCATCTTAGAATTAATATTTACTCACGATGCAAAGCGCGCTATTAAATTCATATCTTATATTGCACGCAAAAACAGTACCTCGATAAACAAGAATCCAAATGTAATTTTTATTTGTTGCTACGTTGGTATTCGGTGCGAAATGTTCTCTTTTTTTTTGGACTTCGTTCGGCGAGAATCAAATAAATACGCTATTAAACAGTGCGCTTTTTCAGGCAGCAGATAATTATATCATTGCTTGTTTGTTTGCCCGCCGCGCAATAACAAATGCGAGTCACGTAATTTTCTTCTTCGACGCGATCATGAACGTTAAAATAGCAAAAACGTGCTGAGCAGAAATTTTTGTTACCAACTGAAAAAAAGACGCGATCAGCATTTTTATCGCGGCAACGCTAAATCATCTATTGTCAGCATCATCAGACTTTTAACAATCGTGCCAATCACGCATATCCATTTTTGACAGTCATGGAGGGTTTTTTTTTTTCGCAATGTGCTTAATGTGCGCGATTGTAATTTTTTTTTTCTTCTAACTGTCAGTCAAAAATAGTCGTTCGTGCGCAATTCTTTTTTTGATATCAACTTTTTAGCAAATAATAACACTTTAATAAATTGATTTCGAATTGAAAATTTTTTTCTAGCAGTTTGGGAGCAAAGTTAAAAACATTTTATATGATATTTATTCGGTTCAAATTTATCAATTATACATGATTTGAAATTTCCGAAAGAAATTACTTTCTCTTCAGCAATTGTAACAGTTTACATAATCTTGTGCGCCTTTATTTTTTAATACTTGCAAAGTATTGCTAGCCAGGAGAGATGCGAGATGGTAACACACACTTTTATAGCAAGACGTAATCGTATTTGCATGTAGATGGTGGCGCGAGCCGCGGAATGCCTATCGCGACGACGTTGTTCGATGAAAACCGTATCAAAAACAAACAGCCCTGAGGGGATGCTTTTCGCCCTCGCATATGCGCGACGAGACACGAACGCTTAGTGGCTGTAGGCGTGGTACGGGGCGTATGGGAATTGGGGGGGAGGGAGGGAGAGGCAAATGTGCGAAACACACATGCTCGTGCAATACCCTCGTCGGAATTTACGAGCCGGTAATTCCAAAAATTGCATTGCGATACGCGCTTTCTGCTCGGTATACCGTGATTCATTTTAACTTATTCGTTTATAAATAATTTCCGCCGACGATCGAAAAATAAACGCTAAGCTAACCTTGTGGAAACTCAATGTGTTTGTTAATCGATGATTAACAACTTAATGATTAATGATACAGTGATAAATAACCGCGAAAGAATAAATAATGGGCTTATCAGTGATAAAACCAGGTGTAAATTTTCCTT